AATTTGGGGTGCCAGGGGTAAATGTAAATGGGAAGCCTTTAATTGAGCTATGTGTAGAAAGAGATTTGGTAATAAGTAATACATATTTTATGAAAAAGAGGATAAATAAATATAAAAGGTATGATGTAGCACGTAATGAAAGTAGTTTGTTAGATTATGTATTGGTGGATAAAAGGTTGATGGGTAGGCTCCAGGATGTACATGTTTATAGAGGGGCAACTGATATATCGGATCATTATTTAGTTGCAGCTACAGTTAGAGTAAGAGGTAGATGGGAAAAGAGGAAGGTGGCAACAACAAGTAAGAGGGAGGTGAAAGTGTATAAACTAAGGGAGGAGGAAGTTCGGGGAGATATAAGCGACTGTTGGCAGAAAGGTGGGCTAGTGCAAAGATGAGTAGTGGGGGGGGGGTTGAAGAGGGTTGGAATAGTTTTAAAAATGCAGTATTAGAATGTGGGGCAGAAGTTTGTGGTTATAGGAGGGTGGGGCAGGTGGAAAGAGGAGTGATTGGTGGAATGATGAAGTAAAGGGTGTGATAAAAGAGAAAAAGTTAGCTTATGAGAGGTTTTTACAAAGCAGAAGTGTTATAAGAAGAGCAGAGTATATGGAGAGTAAAAGAAAGGTAAAGAGAGTGGTGAGAGAGTGCAAAAGGAGAGCAGATAATAGAGTGGGAGAGGCACTGCCAAGAAATTTTAATGAAAATAAGAAAAAATTTTGGAGTGAGTTAAACAAGTTAAGAAAGCCTAGGGAAAGTATGGATTTGTCAGTTAAAAACAGAGTAGGGGAGTTAGTAGATGGGGAGAGGGAGGTATTAGGTAGATGGTGAGAATATTTTGAGGAACTTTTAAATGTTGAGGAAGAAAGGGAGGCGGTAATTTCATGCACTGGTCAGGGAGGTATACCATCTTTTAGGAGTGAAGAAGAGCAGAATGTAAGTGTGGGGGAGCTACGCGAGGCATTACGTAGAAAGAAAGGGGGTAAAGCAGCTGGAACTGATGGGATCATGACAGAAATGTTAAAAGCAGGGGGGATATAGTGTTGGAGTGGTTGGTACTTTTGTTTAATAAATGTATGAAAGAGGGGAAGGTACCTAGGGATTGGAGGAGAGCATGTATAGTCCCTTTATATAAAGGGAAAGGGGACAAAAGAGATTGTAAAAATTAGAGGAATAAGTTTACCGAGTATACCAGGAAAAGTGTACGGTAGGGTTATAATTGAAAGAATTAGAGGTAAGACAGAATGTAGGATTGCGGATGAGCAAGGAGGTTTCAGAGTGGGTAGGGGATGTGTAGATCAAGTGTTTACATTGAAGCATATATGTGAACAGTATTTAGATAAAGGTAGGGAAGGTTTTATTGCATTTATGGATTTAGAAAAGGCATATGATAGAGTAGATAGGGGAGCAATGTGGCAGATGTTGCAAGTATATGGAATAGGTGGTAAGTTACTAAATGCTGTAAAGAGTTTTTATGAGGATAGTGAGGCTCAGGTTAGGGTGTGTAGAAGAGAGGGAGACTACTTCCCGGTAAAAGTAGGTCTTAGACAGGGATGTGTAATGTCACAATGATTGTTTAATATATTTATAGATGGGGTTGTAAAAGAAGTAAATGCTAGGGTGTTCGGGAGAGGGGTGGGATTAAATTATGGGAAATCAAATTCAAAATGGGAATTAACACAGTTACTTTTTGTTGATGATACTGTGCTTATGGGAGATTCTAAAGAAAAATTGCAAAGGTTAGTGGATGAGTTTGGGAATGTGTGTAAAGGTAGAAAGTTGAAAGTGAACATAGAAAAGAGTAAGGTGATGAGGGTATCAAATGATTTAGATAAAGAAAAATTGGATATCAAATTGGGGAGGAGGAGTATGGAAGAAGTAAATGTTTTCAGATACTTGGGAGTTGACGTGTCGGCGGATGGATTTATGAAGGATGAGGTTAATCATAGAATTGATGAGGGAAAAAAGGTGAGTGGTGCATTGAGGTATATGTGGAGTCAAACGTTATCTATGGAGGCAAAGAAGGGAATGTATGAAAGTATAGTGTAGTACCAACACTCTTATATGGGTGTGAAGCTTGGGTGGTAAATGCAGCAGCGAGGAGACGGTTGGAGGCAGTGGAGATGTCCTGTTTAAGGGCAATGTGTGGTGTAAATATTATGCAGAAAATTCGGAGTGTGGAAATTAGGAAAAGGTGTGGAGTTAATAAAAGTATTAGTCAGAGGGCAGAAGAGGGGTTGTTGAGGTGGTTTGGTCATTTAGAGAGAATGGATCAAAGTAGAATGACATGGAAAGCATATAAATCTATAGGGGAAAGAAAGCGAGGTAGGGGTCATCCTCGAAAGGGTTGGAGAGAGGGGGTAAAGGAGGTTTTGTGGGCAAGGGGCTTGGACTTCCAGCAAGCGTGCGTGGGCGTGTTAGATAGGAGTGAATGGAGACGGATGGTACTTGGGACCTGACGATCTGTTGGAGTGTGAGCAGGGTAATATTTAGTGAAGGGATTCAGGGAAACCGGTTATTTTCATATAGTCGGACTTGAGTCCTGGAAATGGGAAGTACAATGCCTGCACTTTAAAGGAGGGGTTTGGGATATTGGCAGTTTGGAGGGATATGTTGTGTATCTTTATACGTATATGCTTCTAAACTGTTGTATTCTGAGCACCTCTGCAAAAACAGTGATTATGTGTGAGTGTGGTGAAAGTGTTGAATAATGATGAAAGCATTTTCTTTTTGGGGATTTTCTTTCTTTTTTGGGTCACCCTGCTTTGGTGGGAGACGGCCGACTTGTTGAAAAAAAAAAAAAACATGTATGTGTAGTGTGACCTAAGTGTAAGTAAAAGTAGCAAGACATACCTGAAATCTTGCATGTTTATGAGACAGAAAAAAGGGCACCAGCAATCCTACCATCATGTAAAACAATTACAGGCTTTCGTTTTACACTCACTTGGCAGGACGGTAGTATACCTCCCTGGGCGGTTGCTGTCTACCAACCTACTACCTAGTTTTCTTATTATTATTTAAAGAAAAAAAAAAAGAAAGAAGGAAAAAAAAAAGACAGTGGAGGGACAGTCACTAGAAGGCATGAAGGGGCTGCAAGTTTCCCCCTCATCCAAGAGGACCTCGAACCCACAAGTAGTGCAGATGCAGCGTGAAACCCATGCCACACCCTACCCTTCATGCCAGTAAACCAGCGCTCCAGGATAGCAACCTCACATTTACCTTGTCACCTCGGCAGACAAGAGAGGGTGGTCAGGAATCCGCCACAAAACGCAGCTCCTTTGGCTGTCACCTCCCAGAACCAACAGACAGCCTCTGGAGATACACCTGTCATCTGCAGGACACCCTGCCCACTTCCTGGAAATCCAGAAAGGAAGCAGGGCACCTCCAGACAATCCAGATTCCACGGCAAACTACACCACAACAAACCATACCCCCGGCCGGGATTGAACCCGCGGGGGTATGGTTTGTTTGCAATCGTGTCATTACGATTTCTTGAGTCAAGTTACACCACAACAGATGAACCTCACAGAGCGAGACAAACTCCGGCACACTTTCCCCTACCTAGAAACCGTAATGCCAGATGGGAGGACCCCAGAGGCTATAAATGAGATGGGGAAAAGGGGAGGGTTGGGAGGGAGATGAAAGGAAAAAAGAGGGGATGAGGATGATGGGATAGGGGAGGATTGGGGGGTAATTAGGTTCAGTCTGAGGATGAAGACCAAAAGGCCCAATTCCTAAGACCAATAGCCTCTTCACCTCTGCAAGGAGCTCCCCTTGAAGAGGCAGGGCAGAGAAGGGTGCAGGGGTATTGGATAGCAAGAGGGAGAGGGATTATTATTAGGTCATGGAGTGAAGCAGGGCAGTGGATAGTGCAGGGAAAGAGGGTAGCAAGAGTGAGGTAAAAAGGGTTGTGAGGAGTGCTAGAGGCATCATCATCAGAGCTTTTGCAGTAAATCAGCTGCTGTCAAAAAGTCAACGAGAGAGTTTGGGTTAAAGGAGGGTCCATCAGCAAGAAGGACATTCAACAGGAAATGACTAGCAATAAGATTTATGTGTAGGAAATACAATGAGTACATTTTGAATGAAATCAAAAGAATATGGACACCTGGTCAAACAGGATGAATTCTGGATTTTATTTTTTCTCAGTTTTATGTGTTATATGTTATACACTGTTTAAACAATATTCATTACTATTTGAAAGTGAAAAGGAACAAATGGCATATGTTCCACTGGAGGGTGTGAGCTAGAGGGTGTCAGCGTGAGGGTGTAAGGGTGAGGAGTGTCAACGTAAAAGCGCCAGTGTGAAACGTCCTTGTCACTTCCTCTTTGCGTGCCACTTTTTCACCATTATTAAACGTAAAATACTGGATAAACATTCTAAATACAAACATTTAATTAAACAAAATATGAATTAATATGGCTCACGAAGGCATCTCCAACTATAACATGGTTGTTTACAGGAAACAGGTTCAGTTCTAACAGATTTTGAAACAATGGTAGCTTGGTGTAGGTGTGGTAAGTTCCAATCTGTTTGGTACAATTTGAACAAGCAATAGAGGATTTACTTACTATTTCTTTTCTTTTGGTTAAAAAAAAAATAATGTTTTCTATCATACTAGCTAGAAAAATCCTATTCCACTCCAATCTAACTAGGGGTGGGGGTGGACCCAAGCTATATATGGCTTTGCCTCATGGCTGGGATATTCAACCAACCACCAAAGAAGGAATCTACTATACAGTAAACACACACAAATGGATTTCAACCCCATTACAATACTCCCCATAAATAAATCAACCCCTCAATTTATACATAACATATGTGGTTTTCAAACCTTGACCTATACACAGGTATACAGTATATGGTACCTTGCTGCATATCTTCACTGGTATTTGCTGTATATCAGGCAATTTATATTTATTTAGTCAACAATGTAACAGAACTCTGAAATTACATGCACCAAAATTATTTCATCATCATAAGACTAAAAATCACAACAGTGACTTACAAATGGTGTAAATATTTTGACCCATCTGATAAGATCTTCTGTTTGCCTGTAGAGAAAACAAAATGACATTGCTTCATCATCCACCTCAAACTTCTCTATTGTGGACCAAGCAAAGTCAATTATCTGTGTCTGAAAGTATTAAATACCTAGTTAAAATCCTTTGTTAACCTTTTATAAAAATTAATATAAATAATCAAGTCATACAGTATACAGTACTATATTTCATGTCTTGTATCCAATATTAAAATCGTTTTACTAAAACTCCAATATTAATACAGCCTCTCCTCACTAGCGATGTACTCATTTACCGACCACTCGGACTTACAACCAGCTGTCCAACCAGTGTGCAAACCTAAGTAATGTATATTAGAGCTGATTTCCTCTATTCTGTTTATTACCGTATACAGTACACTACTGTATAAACATTTAAAAATACAGTGGACCCCCGGTTAACGATATTTTTTCACTCCAGAAGTGTGTTCAGGTGCCAGTACTGACCGAATTTGTTCCCATAAGAAATATTGTGAAGTAGATTAGTCCATTTCAGACCCCCAAACATACACGTACAAACGCACTTACATAAATACACTTACATAATTGGTCGCATTCGGAGGTAATCGTTATGCGGGGGTCCACTGTATACTAGAAATGTTATAAATGGTGCAAAGGTGACATTAAAAAACTATTTAAAGATGGCTAACAAACCCACTACCAGTATAGTAGTATACCTCTTGCTTAACCCTTTGACTGTTTTGGTCATATATATACATCTTACGAGCCAATGTGTTTGACGTATGTATTCTCAAAAATTCTAGCGGCTTCATATGATGCAGGAGAAAGCTGGTAGGCCCACATGCGAGAGAATGGGTCTGTGTGATCAGTGTGTGCAGTATAAAAAAAAATCCTGCAGTACTCAGTGCATGAGAAAAAAAAAAACTCCGACCGTGTTTTTGGATTAAAACACCGACTTTGAGGTGTATTCTCGTAGAGTATTATGGTTGTATTCTTTTTTTCTTGGTCTCATTTGATTGAATAGAAAACATATTATAGAAATAGAAGTGATTTTGATTGGTTTTGCTCTGAAAAGGATCTTGAAATGGAGCTCGAAGTGGCAGAAATGTTCGATTTTGGCCGATGTTCACGAGTAAACAAATGACGTCATTGTCCAATAAATGTCCAATTAGCCATTATTCTAATACGCAGTCACAAATTAGCGACTACTTAAGTCTAGACAAACTTCAAATATTAAATTTTACTCAATTATTAATACGAGGTAGTACAATTTACGATACAAAACATACATTTTTAGGTTTGTAATAATGGTTTAATAGATAAGGGATAATAAAATATTTGGAAGAGTTGCTTCAAATTTGTTAAGAGATTAGCATAGTGTGGGCATGGTTATTATTGAGAGATAAGATGACTTTTTAGGTATAGTCCTAAACTGATTTGTGAGCAGGGGACCTATTGCTGATTTGGGCAGTATTCCCGATTTTCAGGCACTTTACGTGCACTGCATTTTTGCATAGTGTGACGGACACAAGGGATGTCAAAAAGTGTTTTGTCTCTCATGTTATGCCTGTGTGTTCTGTCATAGCTCTAGAAGCCTGAGCGGAAGGTTTATATTGGAGTTGAATGTTCTGTATATGTAGTAGGCACAATAATAAGTGTGTATATTTTGTATATTAAGTAAGTTCAAGCTCTTGAAGAGTGGTGAGGTGTTGTCTGGCACAAGAGTTTGTGATCATCCTCAATGCAGCTTCTTGTTGGGTTGTTAAAGGTTTAAGGTGATTGCCCATGGTAGATTAGGAACGGAACTCTGGCATTAAGTGAGGAGAGGCTGTATACAACTATTGTATTGTATTTTCCATTTTAAGTACTTTTACTAGTGTGTTTGTTTGTGCAAATCTCACTGAAAGAAAAATTCACAATATCCTTTACAATTCTTATTACTCATCACACTACAGTATAGCACACTATTCTTTATATTAAAGGCTGAGGAAAGAAGGTAAGGAGCTGCTCTGGATTAAATTCACAATTTTTTTTTTAACTACTACCTATAAACCAAAGTGTTTCATACCTAATAATATCATTTGATGCTTTTGTCAAATAGAGCTGCATGTGGGTTTGGCAATCACTGTCACCAACAACTAAGAATACAAGATGTGTAAAAAAAAGAAGTTTACTAAATAAAGTGCACACAAGGGAGTGTAGATGCACAAAAGCAAGAAAAGAATATGTTAGAAACAGAAAGGAAAAAGTTATGAAAATACCTCTTTTAATGATACCATGATGTTTTGAGAATGTGTGGCAGATAACCAAATGGTGTTGCTGTGTAATGTGGGCCAAAGTAAAGAACCGTCAATTGAAGCTAGGACAATCACACTCCCACAGCAGTGATTCCAAGGGCACCTTACACCTAAAGAAAAAGTACACAAATGCTGACTAAGGAATAACGATGTGTAAAAGGAAAAGACACAAGATAGCAGCTACAGTATCCAGATAAAGAATTAGCTAAGGCCTCCACAAGGAAAACAATGCAGCCTTATAACTTACTTGTAATGTACCATCTTCTTTACATGCTTGCAACCTAAATGACTTGTAACCCACATAGGCAACAACATGACCTTTCTTACGGGAATCACAGGGACAGTGAGGAAAAACAATATCACCATAGCCTTCACATCCACGAACGACCTGCAATAAACAACCAATATAATTGCCATTTACATGGAATAATTCCAAAATTTTCTTATATTTTTTTCTAGGTAGTAGGTTGGTAGACAGCAACTGCCCAGGCAGGTACTACCATCCTGCCAAGTGAGTGTAAAACAAAAGTCTAATTGTTTTACATGATGGTAGGATTGCTGGTGTCTTTTGTCTGTTTCATAAACTTGCAAGATTTCAGGTACGTCTTGCTACGTCTTCTTACACTTAGGTCACATTACACATACATTTACAAGCATATATATACACACCCCTCTGGGTTTTCTTTCTAGTTCTTGTTCTTGTTTATTTCCTCTTATCACCATGGGGAAGCGGAACAGAATTCTTCCTCCGTATGCCATGCATGTTGTAAGAGGCGACTAAAATGCCGGGAGCAAGGAGCTAGTAACCCCTTCTCCTGTATAAATTACTAAATTTAAAAGAGAAACTTTCGTTTTTCTTTTTGGGCCACCCTGCCTTGGTGGGATACGGCTGGTTTGTTGAAAAAAAAATATATATATTTTTCATAAAATTCATTAACAATTTGGCTAGAATATATCTATTTTTTAATTTATAAAACATTTACTTACAGTAGTATTCTAGTACTGAAGGTAACAGTAAACTTTAAAATCATAAACACTAAGTCTGTTATATACAATCCTTTCAAGACAGACTACTGGATAATAGTCCATCCTTTTAAGATAGCATTACTTTTGGTATAAGGTGTGTAATTAAAGACCAGTGAAAAAGCAACACTAAATATGCATCTACATTGGTTTACCATGTCCAAAAAATCTCCAAATTTAAATATACAAGTTACCAGGTTTTATATAAAGGAATAGCTAGAAATCTATTTAAATATACCTTGAATTACAAGAACTTATGCACAACATAATTCTTATGGGCTTTAAGGAATTCCAAAGTCAACAAACTTCTTTTCTTCTTTCAACAAACCGGCCGTATCCCACCAAGGCAGGGTGGCCCAAGAAGAAAAACAAAAGTTTCTCTTTTCAAATTTAGTAATTTATACAGGAGAAGGGGTTACTAGCCCCTTGCTCCCGGCATTTTAGTCGCCTCTTACAACACGCATGGCTTATGGAGGAAGAATTCTGTTCCACTTCCCCATGGAGATAAGAGGAAATAAACAAGAACAAGAACTAGAAAGAAAATAGCAGAAAACCCAGAGGGGTGTGTATATACAGTGGACCCCCGCATAACGATCACCTCCCAATGCGACCAATTATGCAAGTGTATTTATGTAAGTGCGTTTGTACATGTATGTTTGGGGGTCTGAAATGGACTAATCTACTTCTCAATTTTCCTTATGGGAACAAATTCGGTCAGTACTGGCACCTGAACATACTACTGGAATGAAAAAATATTGTTAACCGGGGGTCCACTGTATATGCTTGTACATGTATGTGTAGTGTGACCTAAGTGTAAGTAGAAGTAGCAAGACGTACCTGAAATCTTGCGTGTTCATGAAACAAAAAAAAAAAGACACCAGCAATCCTACCATCATGTAAAACAATTACAGGCTTTCGTTTTACACTCACTTGGCAGGACGGTAGTACCTCCCTGGGCGGTTGCTGTCTACCAACCTACTACCTAGAACAAACTTCTATATTTTGAAATTAAAGAGAAAATCAAACTTATGCATAAATTAAAATAGATCTTTAGTACTTTTGCATTTTTTGTTATCTATAAGAATTGGCTAATAATTTAATATGCATTAAAAATACACAAGTAAAAAGATAAATATTCTCTCCTAGGACAGGTTAACGACAAAAAAAATCGAAGGTATGCAAGTTCATGAATATAACAGTATCTTTCTGAAGACATTTCATTAACCAAGGGGCTTTATCAATCTAGTACACACATGAGAATGAAGTCTTTTGTAGTGGAGCTATGCAACTAGTATATGTAGCCACATGTGGTTGGGGCCAACTAGTGGAAACAGGTCAGGTACATAGGGTGGGCCATATCTCTGGCCCCCCATATATACTGTAGTTTGCTAAAGCATAAATATATGAAAAAGCATAAAATATATGAAAAAGATATAATTTAATACACAAACTAACCTGTAAATACTGTTCTTTGCGAGCCACATCTTGTAGGGCCTTTAACTGGTACAGCTGATCTGTTGGTTTGATATGGCCTCTGTTAACAACATCTACTGCTGTCCAAAATAGCCATGTGTGTGCAATGTCATCTGTGCTGCACAACCGAAGCTGGAAAAAGTTTTTATATTAATTTATAAGAAACAGGACTGGCTATAAAATAATCTGCAATAAAAAATATCTTAAAAGATAATCCTTATTAACAGCATCTTTTGCTTTGCTTCCTGTACACCTATGCCATGAAATCCATTGAAATTTGCTACATTATTTGCTCATCATAAGCTGTACTTGTATTTAACATTTTATTTAGATTATGATTTAGTACATTAATTACATTCAGCTATTGACAAATTCTTAATACTATATACAAAAAGTTTATTCCGCAAGGTAATTTTGTCATAAAAAAAAAAATTTATTAGCCTATAAATCATAGACAGAAATAATATTTAACTTCAATGCTATTAACCTTGCATAACCTTCTAACATACATTCCATTTAAAAGTACTGTATGTACTGTATCTACAAATAGATCTTTTATTTAAACCTTCTCTTGATTTGTGCATTTTCTTATTTCTTATTTGTAATGTCTTCAATGGAAATTTCCCATTTTCCAAAAACTTTCCACAGGAGATAGCTTAATTAAATACTCAAATATTTAACTAATCATAAAATACTCTGATAACTTGAACTTCTAGGTAGTAGGTTGGTAGACAGCAACCACCCAGGGAGGTACTACCGTCCTGCCAAGTCAGTGTAAAACGGAAACCTGTAATTGTTTTACATGATGGTAGGATTGCTGGTGTCTTTTTTTTCTATCTCGTACACATGCAAGATTTCAGGTACATCTTGCTACTTCTACTTACACTTAGGTCACACTACACATACATGTACAAGCATATACAGTGGACCCCCGCATAACGATGGCATCACATAGCGATTATTTCGCATACCGCTTACTTTAATTGCAAAAATTTTGCCTCACATACCGCTTAAAAACCCGCTTACCGATTTTCGTCCGAGACGCGTCCAATGTGCGGCCTGAGCCACGCTCACATGTTCCGCCGGTGGCATTGTTTACCAGCCAGCCTCCGCGGTAACATCCAAGCATACAATCGGAATATTTCGTATTATTACAATGTTTTCGGTGCTTTTTCTGGAAAATAAGTGACCATGGGCCCCAAGAAAGCTTCTAGTGCCAACCCTACAGCAATAAGGGTGAGAATTACAATAGAGATGAAGAAAAAGATCATTGATAAGTATGAAAGTGGAGTGCATGTCTCCGAGCTGGCCAGGTTGTATAATAAACCCCAATCAACCATCGCTACTATTGGTGGTACAGCTGCTGCTGCTGCTGCTGCTGCACTGTCAGCTGCTGCTGCTGCTGCACTGTCAGCTGCTGCTGCTGCTGTAGCACCGTTGTTGGTGTGGCTTATTGAGAATACCAAGAAACAATTAACCCCAGAGGATTTGCCACCCAGGATAACCCAAAAAAGTCAGTGTCATCGAAGACTGTCTAACTTATTTCCATTGGGGTCCTTAATCTTGTCTCCCAGGATGCAACCCACACAAGTCGACTAACACCCAGGTGAACAGGGAAAAATGCCTGGAACTAGTGCTCATATTGGTGAATTTAAAGCCAGCAAAGGTTGGTTTGAGAGATTTAAGAATCGTAGTGGCATACACAGTGTGATAAGGCCTGTTCTGGAAGAAAATGCCAAACAGGACCTACAGTACTCAGGAGGAAAAGGCACTCCCAGGACACAGTGTCTCATCAGTCATTGCTGCATCTTCAATAAAGGTAAGTGTCATTTATTCTTCATTTAGTAGACTAGTACATGCACAATATATACTGTGCATGTACTACTCTACTATTGTGCATGTATCCTTCTCTTTGTGTGTGGGAAAATGTATATTTCATGTGGTAAAATTTTTTTTTTCATACTTTTGGGTGTCTTGCACGGATTAATTTGATTTCCATTATTTCTTATGGGGAAAATTCATTCACATAGCGATTATTTCGCATAACAATTACCCCTCTTGCACGGATTAAAATCGTTAACCGGGGGTCCACTGTATATATACACACTCCTCTGGGTTTTCTTCTATTTTCTTTCTAGTTCTTGTTTATTTTCTCTTATCTCCATGGGGAAGTGGAACAGAATTCTTCCTCCGTAAGCCATGCGTGTTGTAAGAGGCGACTAAAATGCCGGGAGCAAGGGGCTAGTAACCCCTTCTCCTGTATATATTATTAAATTTAAAACGAGAAACTTGTTTTTCTTTTTGGGCCACCCCACCTCAGTGGGATACGGCTGGTGCGTTGAAAGAAAGAAAGAAAGAACTTGAACATCTTTCTAAATACTACAGTACCATTCATGATTCTAAAACAGTTTCACTTCACTACCAGGACAGTTAGTTTAATTGGTCAAGAGCATTTTCATATAATTTCCATGAGCAGAGCTCACACATTATGTAAATTTAGAGCATTTTAACCATTGCTTAATTTATTATATAAAATTAATGTTAGTACAAAATCCTCATACACTACAAAAATTCATTGAGATTTTAACATTTGTATTTATCCCAGTAACTCTGCCTCATATTTATTTTAATGACAAGGACAGAGGAATCTTAGTGTCTGGGGAATGGGAGGCATTCAAGGTTTGATCAATATCACATCCTATCTACTATTCAACATTGCAACAGATAGACAACTAAAATATTTCACTACCTAGAAATATAGTCATTTCAAATACATAGTAAGTGTATGATCAAAACGTAACTTGTAAAGTTAACTCACTTCTCGATGAGGATTAAAGATCCATCGATGAATACATAAACACGTTGCTGTTGCAGTACTGTAGTTCTGAATGTACAGGTTATGAGGGAATTCATCATCGCTAATTTTTCGTTCTATAAAGAAAAAAAAAATTACGTAATCCCCAAAGATAATGCCTCATCCCACTAACTTAACTGAAGCCATTTGTCTAGCCATTGCAATCAAGAAGCATATTCAGCAATGTCTATAGAATATTAGTGACAATTTTTTTTATCCCTCATTTACAACACATTCCTAGAACATCAAATAATCTTCCAAGAATGTTCTGTCACACTGATTTAACAGAAATACTGTAGTATACTTACCAAAACTATATTCTACAATCTCAAAAAGTGCAAAACATTTTGCTGTTTCTGGAGGTATGCTAATTTTTTCCACCACAGCTTGATAAACTTGATGAGCAAGAACATTTTTAGCCTGTGTAACAGTCACCACACTCTTGTCTGGCAACAACACCTTTAAGTCCACACGAATACTGTTGCCCTATAAAAAGCAAATAGAAATTTAAGTGTGAATTTGTGATATCCAAAAAAATTTTTGTTAAATAAATACAAGAATTTAAGACAGTCCTCCATAAATGTGGTTCTTTTACCCTTTTGTTACATGCTATGCATCTGCTGTCAATTTGTATTTAAAACTCAACAGTTGTATGTTTTTTTTTCAAGAAACCATTCATATCCCACCAAGGGAGGGAGACCCAAAAAGAAAATCAAGTTTATCTTTTTCAATTTAATAAAGCTGTATTTTTTGTAACACGTCGGCTGTTTCCCACCGAGGCATGGTGACCCAAAAAGAAAAAAACTCAAAAAGAAAGAAAAACCTTTCATCATTGTTCAACACTTTCACCATCATCCATACATAATCACCGTCTTTGCAGAGGTGCTCAGATATGACAGTTTAGATGTCCCTATAAACAGCCCATAACCCAAACCCCTCCTTTACGGTTCAGGCACTGTACTTCCCACCTCCAGGACTCAAGGCCGGCTAACTGGTTTCCCTGAATCCCTTCACAAAATATTACCCTGCTCACACTCCAACAGCTCATCAAGTCCCAAAAACCATTTCTCTCCATTCACTCCTACCTAACATGCTCGTGCACACTTGCTGGAAGTCCAGCTTTATTTATGTCTACTTCTTAATACACATGTACAATCATAGTTATTTTTTCCACATGACTATCACCACCTGAACAATTAATTTGTTTAATATATTCTTCTAATAATACATCACCACCTTGTGATTCCTTATTCTCAATTCCATGTTGACATCCAACCATATTAATTTGGAATTTTGCAAAAATTTAATATACCTTTACATGTTTTTTCCTTGAAAAACTTGTAAGCAGATTAGTCCCATTGCCAATTACCCACCTCCCTTTCCTTTAATTTCCTTTCCACCCAGTCAAGCCTTTAATTAAAGTGTGACTGACAGAGTTGCTCCCAAAGTATTATAAATCTGAGATAATTCTGATAAACCAGTTAATAACTACTATGGTATTCTTAAAGAGAAACTGAAAAAAAAGCTTGAATTTTATACACTGACTGAAGGACAGAAAAATATGTGAACAAGAACAGTAGCACCCAGAATTTCATTAGAAAGGAGAGAAGATTTTCTAAAAAAAATTAAGTTTATATGAGCAGTGAAAATTGTCCATTCATCTTCCTGATCTACAAGTTGGCTTGCATTGAAAGGGGGTTGTTTGTGTACAGCAACATTCCAGTCTAGAGAGCATTTGGGTGCCTTTAACTAGTATCATCTTTGGTTTGTCAAATTATAGAAAAAATGAAAATAGCCATAAAGGGTATGAGAAATGCCCCATTTTTCTGTGGCAGATCCTCCAATAAACACAAGACCACAATTATTTAATATTGCTTTTCCTTCATCACAAACATAGCACCAGAAAAAGTGTCCACTAGAAAATAGAAAAAATTTCCAATGTTAAGAACATACCTGGTGATCATCAGAATCATTAAGAAAATCTTGCATAATATCAGACTCTGCTATTACCCTCACAGCACAAACTTTCTCAAGGTACAGTTCCAGCCCTCTACGTCGCCCATCTAACTGCTGTTCAGACAACCTAGGGAGACAGAATTTTAAAATGCACAAAAAGTACACCCTTCTGGTAAAACAGCTACTGAATTAATGATGAATCTATTTTTTATTTTAAGGAGGTGTCACCCCACCTTGGTGAGTAAAAAAAAAAATTCAAGCATGACATTATGCCATGTCAAATTTACTTATGTTCTGAGTATAATCACTGACTGTCATAACAGTCAAAAAATTTTGTATAACTAAATATCAGTGCTTGTACACAATGTTAGGCTTTGGTGTCATTGCTAAATTTAGTCTTCCTCATCTTCCTGAACATAGGCTGTTCACATCCCATCACCACAAAATTTGGAGAAAAAAAAAAAAAAAGTTACTGAAAACAGGTAGAGTGTATGTATGTTAATATTTCAGAGCTTGCTAAGAATAAATATGGATGTTACCAAAGTCTTGATAAGCAGATAAAGCATACAAAAATAAAAATATGTGCTTTATCAATCAATCTTATATGACCATCTCAATTCACACAAATCAAATGTCATTAGGATAAATATAAAAAATAATTAAGAAAAATTATAAACAGTTTACTTACGAAAAGGGCCATTTCCCTGGTAATTTGGGAAAGTTGAAGTCCATGAACTCCCTCTTGAGATTGTTGTGTAAATTTGAAAATTCTCTATATCTGCGAGCACATAAGTGACGCCCAGCCATGTAAATATTAAACACTACATATTTATCTCCACCAGATTCTATGTAAGAATAGTCTGGAATCGATATTGGAAGGGAACGCTTTTCACTGTAATCAATATAGGAAAATCCTGAGGTTTCTTCACTTGGTTCTAACCTCTCTGCTTCCTGCAAAAGAAAAATAAGCATATCAAAATTAATAGGTCTTCAACATTCAAATTTGTCCTTAACGTGTACAGATACAGTATTTATATTTTTAAAGAGTGAAGTGCATACTGATCTGAGCTTACATATAATATATATACATCTTTAAAATTTCAAGTCCAGTAGTCTGATAAAACTTATAACTGCATTGTGCAAAGCTAGGACTGACAACTGTACTTTGATTTCCAAAGTTTTTGCATGAGGTGGCATTTCACATCAATTTTTTTTCTTATATTTTAACAAGCTACAGTAGTGTATATTTTTCTATTCATTTATCCTTTTTCTTTATCCTCTAATATTACATTTCCTCTCCATAATTTTCCTGCAATTATTAAACATTTTGCCCTAAATAAATGAAATGTTGAACTCACTCTACAAGCATTCTGAGGTTTAATTAATAAAATGTGGCACACATTTGTTTAATGTAACTTACCTTTCTTGATACAGAAATTACAGTTAGTTTGAGCACATCACCACCTTGCTTTATTAGCTCCACAACATAACGATGTTCAGCACCCTCGACATTAACCCCATTCCTGAAAATTAAATATTTCAGTACTAATAACATATATGTATATGGGAAATAAGCTGATAAAACTATAGAACATACAAAGAAAGTATAATTATAAATACAAAAATCTTGAATATCTGCAAATTAAAAGAATTTTTTTTTTTTTTTTTTTTTAACAAGTCGGCCGACTCCCACTGAGGCAGGGTGACCCAAAAAGAAGGAAAATCCCCAAAAAGAAAATACTTTCATCATCATTCAACACTTTCACCTCACTCACACATAATCACTGTTTTTGCAGAGGTGCTCAGAACACAACAGTTTAGAAGCATATACGTATAAAGATACACAACATATCCCTCCAAACTGCTAATATCCCGAACCCCTCCTTTAGAGTGCAGGCACTGTACTTCCCATTTCCAGGACTCAAGTCCGGCTACACAAAAATAACCGGTTTCCCTGAATCCCTTCACTAAATATTACCCTGCTCACACTCCAACAGATCGTCAGCTCCCAAATACCATTCGTCTCCATTCACTCCTATCGAACACGCTCATGTACGCCAATCTTTAGTCACTGTGGAAAAGCTCTCAAACAAAATACTGTAACCACATGGGAAAAATCAGGAAATTTACCTACACACCTTCCACATTAGGTTAGTAAAATTATCTTTAAACTCATCCATTATTGTTGCATTTTTCTTCTCTACTTTATTATGAAAAAAAAAATCTGCATTTCTTCACTAATTTTTCCAGCACTTTTCTTAACCAATATGAGACAAAAATAGTATTAAATAATCTAAACAAGGCCACAAAAATACTACAGAATTTTAGTATAACTTTGGAATATCTGTTACTCATACTTTATGGTTTTGTACTTATATTGCCTAATGATTCTGATGATTATTGGCCCCAGTCTCAGACCACACCTAAAGTGGAAAGGAAATATTACAAAAATAAGAGCTGTTAAGAAACACATAAGAAACCACATACGTGTACCAGTACAGTGAATGTAAGTACAAGTTTTTAAGATTTACCTGCCATCTTAAATAATTAGGGAACAGCAAGGAAAGACCAGAAATTCTGCCTGAGTGCAACACATTTAACAAGCTTCCATATGAAGCCAAGCAGTCTTTTAGCGCTATTACAAACACCTATGCACTGCTGTCTTAGATTCAAATTTCTGATACATTTTTTTAATTCAGTTTTATCACATTCTATGTTACCTAGTATGAAGGTGTCTGATTTTCTCCTCAGTATTATGGCAATGAACTAAATGTGCAACTTTTCTGCCTACATTAAAATATGTCAAATCATCCTGAAACTCCACTGTAGCCTCACTAGTTGTTTTTGCAGTGCAGTGGTTAGTGCACTCAGCTCACACCAGGGAGAATGTGGGGTTAAACTCCACTGTGAGGTGGGATGTACGGATAAGTCTCCTACTGCCCGTTACCAAGCAGTAAATAGGTACCATACCTGGAAGTTAACAGACTATTGGGGGGTCACATTCTAGGGAAAGACCTATAAAGGAACCAGTGAATGGAAGCTTTATTGGCTTATCCTGAGTTACTAACCCACTGAGTTAATAATTTGAATAGCCTTCCTCAGTCTTCAAGTCAACAAATTTAAGCTGATATTTTTTTGTTTATATAGGGAATTTATGTCGATTGTGAACAACAAAGAGCCTAATACTGGCCCTTGTAGAACACCACTTGTTAATATTTTTCACTCTGATTTCTCCCTGTTTATCTAAAAACCTTACTCAAGTATTATGTTAATGCCATGATTCATTTCTGGCATAGTGCAATTCTTTTAATTAAAATTCTGCGCACTTTCAGCATATAACTATTGAAATGAAACACGGTAAGAAACAATCAAGCGAGACCTGATCCCTAAGATATCTCCTAGTTCAGCAATTTACACTTGAACTTCATAGTGTCTAAGTAAAAAGATAACCCAAAAAAAAAAAAAACTTAAAGTGGCAAAATTACATGGGATTTTCATTCATTAACATATACATTTAGGACTCTCCAGTCACAAAATTAAATTTAACTATCATATTAACGTCCCATAAGAAAGCTTGATTTTGATCAAATATATGGATGATTTTGCCAGCTAGTTTAATATGTACAATATTTCCATTAATTGCATGATTGTTATAGACACAGTTGTAAAAAATTGTGAATATCCAACTTTGAAAACCCCCCACAAATTAACTAACATTTATTTTCAGTTGGGTCCTACATCAGGAAAGTTTGTGAAAGTATTTTGCAACATGTTGAGTCCTTCATATAGTGTAGTGAAACAGTAATAACTGAACTAAAATTAGGATAACCCAAGATAAATACTGTATTATGATGTATATCCAGGCATGTGGCCACACTAGTAACAGGTCGTGTTTCTACTGCCCCGTGAAGCTCTTTATGAAAGTATTTTGCCGAGATGTCATGAGTTATGCATCAATTGTATGGAAGGTGTAATGATGGGGCAAAACTCGGGTGTACTTACACTTCAAGTATACGATCGCCTTTACGTATACCAGCTTGCTCGGCCGCCCCTCCTTCCAACACCGCAGAGACGTGTTGAAGAGGTGGGTACAACTCCCCATTGATGGGTCTCCATTGACCTCCCTCGCTCACCTGACCCCTCACATTAAAGCCGAACCCCGTGTCAGTCTTGTAGATGGTCACGACCCGCGGGCCGGGGTTAAAACCGCTCATGGTGGTTCAATACCCTTCCTCAGCGATGGTTTGTTTTCACTGTCTCCTCTCTGCCATGATACCTGTAAGCTCACTTGCTAGCCACTCTACATTCAACTTGAATCACTTGCAACATTTTTACTCCTACCATTAACATCACTGTTTGTCCTGAGCAAATTACTCGAATAAGTAAATTTATAAGCTCTTTTTATAAGGTTATTTGGGCTACTGAAAATTTAAATAGGTTTATTATGCAGTGTTGAAGGTAAGGTGTCTGCGCAGTGGAATAGAACGAGTCTAGGTGTCCGTGTCAGACGAATTCCATGGTGGCGGGAAGCAAGTGGGTGTTATTGTATCTTCAAATACATATTCCATGCTATATTACCCTTTATTTAAGTAGATAGAAGGGTGTTGTACTCTTTAAATATTAAAAATTATGTTACTCCATAAGATGATCTTCATAATAGCAGTGAAACGAAATCAATAGGTAATATGTACTAGCACTTTGCACGCTGTTAACTTACGCACTCTATAAATGCACATAGAATAAATTAATTACCTCTTAGAATTAGCAGCTAGAAGAGTTTGGAGACCGTGGTTAAGCATAGCTGGAGTTAGTGTAGTGGGTCGTGTACTGCAGCATAGGTGTCAAGTTCACTTGGCTTACACCACAAGTTTTACCTCCTCGTTGGTCACCATGGCTTCATGTCCATCTTTTGTCAATATTTCTCTTCTGTTTGGTGACACACGTTGATAAATGCATTCAAAGAAAGTGTGTAGTGGAGATAAGCATGTAAGAGTGACCAGAGGTAATCTTAGGCACAGACTGCTGGCATTTCTCACAGGCTGTGCCACCTCCACCTTCACTTTCACTCAAACACTCATATTTACGACTAATACTAACCAAAATAAATTATTTACGACATTGGTAGATCAATTATATATAGAGGTATATCCATGGCAGAGAAGAGAAGCTAGTATTAAGTTGATAAAGTGGTTTATATGAAGAAGTGTCACTAACTATAGTGTTATCATTTAAGGTAACATGATCCACTACCATAATATATATACTTATGTAAATCTTATATACAACACTTATAACATACATTCATTTATTATGTATTTTTGTAACGCTAATATGATTTTCTTCTTGTTAAACAGATTGTAAACAGTTTGTAAATTTATATAAGACAGTGACGCGTAGTTTGTGGTATGTAGCCTTCAAGAGTGGTGAAGGGCTTTTGATTCGAGGACCTAGAGCCACTTTCTATGGATGGAATACGTCTTATTCCCCAGGCATATGTAACCCATATGGATTGAACGCTGCTCCGTGAACGAAATAAGAAGCCACAGTGATTATTCATCCCAGATAAATTATGATATGTATTGCCCACAATTCGTGTATTCAGTATACATAACCTTGAATTATAATTAATGGTCGAAGGCGGACCGAAACGTCATTAGTGTCATTCTCATATGTTATCTGTGCATTGTTCCAGTCACGAGAGTGGAAGGCGTCGGTCAGATGACCAAAACCTCCAGCTGTGGGTCATCATATGACTTAGGAAACACTTGTCCTGTTTCCTGACGAACCTACCTAACAATCCAGTCACGGCAGTATGTTTTTTTTTTTATTCTTTATAGTCTTGAATTATTATTGTTATATTCACAAGGAAGCGCTAAGCCCGTAGTCATACAGCGCCAGGTTTGAGGCAAGGAATGGTAGGATTGCTGCAAATTCTTGGGCTAGGTAAGTACATGTAGACAGCTTGTCTCTCTCACTGACCCAGGATCAACTCTCCACCACGACTTCCACTGAATGACCCACACGGGTTTAGCGTGTTACCAAAAAAAGTCAATCTCGATGGATCAAGAGCCCTCAGCAACATCAAGGTGCTTCCCTTGAAGGGACATATACAATCGGAACTTGCATTTTTTTATCAACAAAAATGTCTTTGTGACATCAACAATGTTTCATTACTTGTCTTTTAACAAAAATTAGGTTCAACTACATCGAGTAGCATTTTAAAATGCTAGAGCAGGTGCTTCCTATGTTTATATCTAGCCTGTCACATACCATGGTTTGTCTCACATACGTGGTTAATGCTTATTTGGAATAAAATAAATGACATTTCCGTTACACATGAAGCAACAAAAGTCGTCACGCTGAGCTGAGAGACTTTAATAGGGAGAGGTGTTTATCAAGATTAGATGCACATATTGTGGTTATCTTGATCTATATGATATTTTACTAGATTAAGGCAAGTACTAACTTTATTTACCATACATATATCACTGAATGGCTTTCCTGCCATTCAGTGATATATGTCACAAAACAAGAGATGCCAAGCCAATGATGATCCTTTTTAAACCACTTGTTCTCTCTAGGCTGAAATACTGCTGTACACTAACAGTTCTATTCAAGGCAGGTGAAATCGCAGATCTAGAAAATGTACAGAAAACCTTTACATCAAACACTTTAACTACTGGGAACGCTTGGAAGCACTTAACTTGTACTCTTTGAAGCGCAGGCGAGAGATACATCATAATCTACACCTGGAAAATCCTAGAGGGACTGGTCCCTAATCAGCACATAGGAATCACTCCTTACGAAAGCAAGAGAATTGGCAGGCGATGCAACATACGCCCAATGAAAAGTAGGGGCGCCATTAGTACACTAATAGAAAACACAGTAAGTGTCCGGGGCCCAAGACTGTTCAAGAGCCTCCCACCAGCCATAAGGGGAATTACCAATAGGTCCCTGGTTGCCTTCAAGGGGGAGCTGGACAGATACAGTGCCGAATCAGCCGGGCTGTGGTTCGTACGTTGGACTAAGTGCAGCCAGTAGTAACAGTATAGCTATCAGGCCCTGATCCGCCGGGAGGCCTGGTCGTGGACCGGGCCTAGGGGGCATTGATCCCCGGAATATCCTCCAGGTAGACTGGAGGATTTTCTTGCAATGTTACATGACACTGGATGGTAAGATTAAACAATGTATGATTTTATGAGAATTAACGAGCAAAATCGAACGAATTTGGAAAATTTCATTTATATTCCGGAAATGACTGTATGGCCTTGCAAGGACTGTAAAAAAAAAGTCCCACATCCGCCGTGCTTCACCTCTTCCTGTGGTTAGGATATAACCAGATATGTATCAGTCGCTATGAAACCCGAGAAAGGCATTTCTTTAAGCCCAGCCTCCCTATCTGGGTTTAGCTGTTTTAAGTGTTAAGGATATAATCATGACTGATTTCTACTGTAATTCTCTTGTGGGTTTAGCGCTTTGTTATGAATATAATAACTATTATACTGTAACTTTCAGCTAGGCAGGGGTGTCACTAGCACGTTAAGAGACCATACAATAAGTGTCAGGGGCCCGAGACTGTTCAACTGCCTCCCAGCATACATAAGGGGGATTACCAACAGACCCCTGGCAGTCTTCAAGCTGGCACTGGACAAGCACCTAAAGTCGGTTCCTGACCAGCCGGGCTGTGGCTCGTACGTTGGTTTGTGTGCAGCCAGCAGCAACAGCCTGGTTGATCAGGCTCTGATCCACCAGGAGGCCTGGTCACAGACCGGGCCGCGGGGGCGTTGACTACAATGGAAATAAATCACAGATTTTTTTTTGGGGGGGGGTTATCCTAGGTAATTTATACATACGTTACTATGTACAATGATTGTATTTACATGTACCTGTACCTAAATAAACTTACATACTTCTCGTATCCCATAACCCAGCCCCCTACCTCAGTGTTCCCAGAAAGGTATTTCCGATCCTATATAACTAAGCCTCCTCTACCTCGGTATTCCCGCATCCCGAAAGCCCAGCTCTCTCAACCTCAATCCACGCGATAGAAAAGGAATAATACAGAGCGCGGCATTAATTTTTAACGGAGTTGAACATTAGCAGTGAAGATTTGAAACCATGAGAAGAGGCGTTGACAAGTTACTGCATGGAAACTGTCCCAATTTCTCTAATCAACACGGCTCATAACCAATTCGAACCTTCTACTAAGTTAAATCATCTTTGAAAGTTTAAAGCCAATCAAAAGAGCCATTAACTAGGCATCGAATACAGACCAATATCCCAAAATACTCCCCGCACTATAATTTAAAGCCAATCAGAAGTTGATTTCTCAAGCTACAGGCATTATAGATTTGAAGCCGATCGCACGAGGCCCTCACAAATTATCGCATGAAAACCAGTATAGTATTTAGATTTTCCCAGTTTGCTCAATCAGATTTGCAAAATGCCACCTACACAGCTCAAAATCAGTCCCTACCTTTCTCTACTAAGACGCACCATCATTTAAGGTTTGAAGCCGATCACAAGAGGAATTCTCCAGTTATCACATGGAAACAATAAAGAGCAGTTTTTTAAAACAGACAACAAGACACCTGCCCATAGCAACAGTTCCACAAACCTTCTGGTTATAGTTGAGAGCAACTAAAAAATTGAAACCAATTGAATAAGGTACGTATTCTCAAATTATAACAAGAAAATTGAATGAATACAACTTCGAACAACGAATTAAATGGGCCCTTTTTGGGGTCCCATTATGTGAGAGGGAATGGGGCACCAATAGGTACACTGGACTGGTACTCACAATATGATCTTCCAGTGTCCTGCCAAGGTTGCAGTCTGCGAGAGCTCTTCCCAGCTCTAGTTTTCAGATCGAGCTTCCCTTAATGTGTAATACCTGCCTTTCTTAAAAACCCTCTTGCTCCACATCCATCTAAAATTGTCAAGAACCCAGATGGGCACTTGATAATAGTGGAGGAGATCAAGACAATATTAAATAAATAACTAGGCCCCACCTTCATTAGCTCAGAATAAGTAAGTTTATTCAGGTATACACAAATACAGTTACATAGATTATCATACATAGCAGCATATGTGTAGAGAACCTAGGATAACCCAAAAAGTCAGATTGACAAGCAGAATGAGTTACACAGTATTCAGACTTTCAGTTTCAATTTCAATTACTCAGATATGGTAAACATGAGGAAATTAAATCTTCATCAGAGTACAAAACAAATTCTGGCCACAAAATAGAGCGAAACACCAACGTCAAAGACCTGGGAGTGATTATGTCGGA